TTTTCATTCCTTTTAACAGGGTTTTCATTCTTTTCCTTTCATGTTGCAATCGCTCTCATAACTTTCATCACCAAAAGTGTTCTCTTCTGCTAATTTCTCATTCATTTCACTTAACAATGAAAGTCGAATTCTCATTCTATCAAATACACTCTATAACTGATTATTTGACGGTCGAACATTGTCGAGCAATAATATTCGATTGTGTATTGTTGATTTCGACTGTCAACACTCGTCAACGTATCCAGTAAATAGTATATGCTACAGAGTAAGAAATTGATTTGAACTGTGAAGTGAAATGAGACGAAGTGAATGATAAAAAGTCATGAAGAGAACGGTATTCGCATGCAATAGCTATGAGAGTGAATACAACAAGTCTGAAAAGAATGAGAATCCATCTGAATCAGTCTGAAGTGAGCGTGTCATAGACGATAGCTCTTCATGCAGTCATAATCGGTTGCAATAATGAGCAACAGTGCTTCTCAAATGGAGTGGAATTACCCGTTTTGGGTAACTTGGAGATGCCAGGGAGGGGAAGGGGATAACGGTAGCCTGCCAGATCATCAAAAGGGGTAATGGAGCACTCGAACGTGAGAACCACTGATTTACAGGAAATGTTTCGACATGAATTCAGTGAATTTGATCTCGCCTGAACAGTGATTATCTCAAATTCTATATTAAACAATAGATCAGCCTAGAAATTCAAGTAGGCAAAGAACCTGTGCGTTTGGAATCGCTTTAAAAAGTCGATTTCTTCCGATATTTTCATTCGTAACATACCGACTCATTTGTTTGGTTTCAGGTTGATTGCTACGGTAAAGATGTTCAGTTTAATGTTGTCGATGTTACTCAACATCGACCAACAAAACTTCTCCATTGAACGCAATTCAATTCCTTCACCAATTCACCACAAAATTTTCCTCACTCACTTAACTCATCGAATCCTAGTTGTTCTTGTTTGTTGATGAATAGCGCTGTTGCACTGTCGACGCTAGTTTCTGACTGATCACTGCTCGTACATTCAGTTCGTGCACAAATCGAAATTCTTAATTTGACTTCAAATGATTTATTACACGACTCATCTAATGCACGGCATTTCCCGTGCACTGAATTTTTTCCATGATTGCACATTGATGGAATTTCCCTGATTGACTATCGCGTGCGGTTTACAACTTTAGAAGATGAGTTTTGAAACTGAAATGATTCTGTAGTCTCCAAAACAGCATCGAACAGAATTTCAAGCAAAAACTCATTTTACGGAAGTTTTTTGATCGTGAGAGTGAAGATGCTGATCGATTGGTTCTTGCTAACGATAAGCGCCAGCCGCAATTCAGTTCTGAATCTGACTTTTATATTTGTGGTACATTTTTTTCTGCTTTTCGTCTTGCAGAAAAATACCAAAAACTTCGTGAATAGGCCGTGATAGATTGATGCAACAAGCTGCCGTTTAGCGCTACTGCTCGCTAGTGTACATATAATATACATGAAAGGGTAATGTTGTAATTCAGGTCGGTAATATCACAACGGCATTTCGTTCGTGCGAACATTTCTTGCTGTGCTCTAGCTAATCGTAAATAACATGTTCAACAGCGAATGTGAACGAAATGCCATTTTGATCCTACCAACTTATATACAAAATCACCCATGAAAGTTTTTCACACATTCAGCTGTATGATCCGTCGGTCGTCTAGTCACATTTTGTAGCGGTTGTTGAAATGCCACATACTTGTCAGCAATACTGATGACCACCTGTCAGTATGTCATGCAATTGCATATTTGTACATAGTTCATTGTTGACGTTCATAATTAATCATATGAAATCATTCATATACATTTGTCATTTCATGTTAAGACAATGAATAAAACGCATTGTTATTGGTACCTTCTGCAATAAACGTTTTGAATAGCAAAAATGATCATGGTTCTTATCACTTTATTCTTTTCATTACACCAACCCATGGATTATGAGATATCAGTTGAGGTTCACTCAAAACTTGCTGGCTTGCTTACAGAAATTTGGAACAAATGAAAAAGATCACGTCAAATCGAGTAGGGGTGCATTCATGGAGAGAGTAGGGGTGCATTTATATCCATTTTCGAACTCTCTCTGGTGTAATCAAATCGGAATGTCACTTTAGAATGAATGATCCGAACGGAAGCATTGAGCTGGGTCAAGATAAGGCAAATACAATAACCAGATATCGTAACCAGACATATGTCCAAATACAATAGCCAGATATCGGATATTTCTAATGAACCAAGTGCGTAACTGATTGAAATATAATAATTTAAAAGATTTCACAAAAGTTCCAACAGAAGCCGAAATTAAAAATTAAGTTGTCTTCACTTTTACATTAAAACTTAATGAGCATTGAATTATTTTCGGCAAACTGAATAATAATAGTGATAACATTGATAAAACGAATCTCATCAATACAATAACTATTGCTTTATATACAATTTCATAAATCAAATTCTCTGATACGAAACGAGTTAATGGATGATATACAAACGAATTAATTAAAAGTGTATCATCAACGCTAAAGGCAAAACCACAAGAGCTAGATATGATCCAGTGGCTCCTGATCCTTTATCCGTCTTGGTGGCCGTTCCATTTTCGGTGTTTTTGCTGTTCTCCTTACCATTCGTCTGATTTTGATCGTCCTCTTGCGGTATTATCGCAGCAGGCATAATATCACCAACCGAATGTGCCACATACCTGTAACCGTAATTCAGTAAGCTCGTGAACGCAAATGGAAATATGTCCTGAGATTTGAATTATTGCGTGAAATAGATCACGACCTATCAACAGTAATGTACATCAACATTGGAATGTGTAATTGTAATGGTGAATAAGCAAACGAATATAATCGTCAAATGAATGAAAAGGTGAGTAAAACAACGGCAATTGATTAAAAAACTGAATAAACAATTCAATAAAGACAGTTGGTGTTCCTCTTCAAAGTTACTCTGTAACAAAATTGATGAATAAATAAGTTATTGAATGAACAAATAATAACTGAAGAAAGAAACAATTACCAATTGCGCACATCACCCGTAGCTACACTGATCTTATCGCCGTTCAGTTCCTCCTCATTCACTGTATCCTCTGGTTCCGGCGGAATGATCGCTGGTGGAATCACATCGCCACCAGTCATTGGAACGTGCCAACCACGCCGATCACTCAGGTCATATGTTCGTTGTGGTCCTTCCGTTGTTACAATCACCGAATCTGGAGGCAACTCAGATTCCGTGGATGCTTCAACACTGTCATCGCCTTGGTTCTTGCTCTGTTTCTGCTCGTCATCCTCACTGTTAATGGGGTTACCCGGTTGCTTGGAGGCTTCGTCAGTTGACGATTCTTCTGATGGGGATTCTTTAAGTTTTACGCCATCCGCAGAGCTTGCTTCATGAGTCGCTGGTTCAGTAAGGACCTCATCGATGTACTGAAATCAAGTATCTTTCAATTACTAGGAAGGTTAAACGAGAATTTGAAAGTTGATCGCACATAAGACAGAATTTGATCTAAGTGCTACTTACTGCTCGTAGGGGATTGATGAATAAATCTTCGAACTGAGGATACTTTGTGGAAAAACAGAAATGTGTTCTGATATAACTGAATGATAGAGTTAGTGAGAACGTTTCTATATGTGCTAATCAGGATGATTTTTGCTGAGTTTATAAACTATCGAAGGGTAACATTCGGACACCGGAATTCGGAGGATTAGCTGATTATACTGGCATTCCATCGAGGAAAATACCGCTTGCAAATAGGTCAGAAACCGTCGGTATATTGTATCAACTTTGTTCGAATTCCTCTTAACTCTTTGATTGCTTCTTGCACTGATGTAATTCTGGGGCCGTCAAATTTGCTCAGTATTCGATTATCTGCTAAACGAACAAAATTTGGGCGAAAAATACTGACTGAAAAACATGACTCCAGTTTGAATTCATCTGAATGGACCGGATCGTCTGAACATCGAAAACACCATCTTGTTGATATTGAGTATCGAACTTGTTCCAGCAGCGGATAAATTATTTTCGAAATCTTTACCGAAAACCAAAAAACAAGGAGCAAATGAAATCTACACTTACTTCATCATCTGGAGCTGGTGCCGAGAAGAGTGCCTCAACTTCGGATGCCTCAAATGTTTCGGCTAGTGGAATGATGATTGCATGGAGAAGAAGGACAAGAAGCACCTGATGATACATGAGTAAAGTCAGCACAAAAATAACATTTCGTTGCTTTGATAGCTACTAGTTAACTGGAATGTTGCTGGTGACTGGACAATTTCAATAAACAATTTTCGTGGTTGGTGGGTGACATTAACGCGGTTTGAGTTGCCTTCTCATAGATAATTGATAACCGGTTTTCTTGAGCCGTCAATATTTTGCATCGTTTTTGAACTATTAAGTATCAGTCCACTCCACATGAATTGATTTTTGTTATTGATCATTCTATGTCTGCTAATTAAAACACTCATCTACACTCAGTCATCGCATAAAATCCGTCAACAGTACGGCGCCATTTCGAGCTAAACGAATAATAACATAACTTTTACAGTCAAGTGGAACGTTTTTAGAAGTAGAATGCGGATAATGTAATCTGATCGTGAGATCTTAGGTAAAGATGTTCGTTGATTGGAAATTCGAAACAGATTTCATTGCTTGCATTTATTTGGCTGTTTGAGGATAATGGTTTGCAGCCACAGCTTGTTAGTTTCGTCGAAGAGATGTTCTGAAAGGTCTTGAGAACTACGAATGCATCAGGCAACCCTTCTGAGCATGTTGCTTACGATTACTGAACACATTAAATTTTATGCAAACGCAGATCATGATCATGATCTATAATAGGTGAAGAACATTGATTCCAATTATTAACGACAATTTCTTGTTACCGTCACTACAGAACCACACGCAAAAGGCTTATGCAACCGATGATATCTGTAAAAGTATGGATTTACCGTGATACCAAATCCCTGCCACGTAGATTTAATAAACTTGCGAAGTTCAGGCCTTTACGAGTTGAAGAGTTTTTGAAAATTACACCTTGCAGATCGATTGTTTCATCAGGTAAGAAGAGAAAATAAAACTGCTCTCATTGTTTCACATTCCAGCCTACTCAATGAGCAAATGCATTGAACTTTGATTCACTGTTTAACTGAATTCCACATAATTGAATTAGGCGAACTGCTGCAGTACAGGAATATCGGTATTTCAATTGTTAATTAAATATTCAATTGAAAGCTTTGATTCACTATTCGAATGAATGAAATAACAAATTACTCGGATCTTTAAGCAAGGCGAGATTATGTGATATCAGCATTAATAAACGAATGGATCTCACGTGTTCTCTACTTAACGGCGATGGAATCGCTTCGAAAACAACAGTTGACCAGTATTGATTTGCAATCAATTAGATATCAGAGTAATTTCGTTTTTGAAATTTCATCACATCAACCTCATCCGTTCATCTGCTCTCGATTACTTATCTAATGATGAATTTTCGACTGATATTTTCGCTGATTATTTTGATAATATGCTATTCCTATTGTGTAAGTGCTTTCGTATTCATTAACTCAACATTTCTTTTCCTAATTGTCTTCTATCACTTTCTCGAAAGTTTCTCTTTTTTCTGAAGTCGATATCCATGGAATTTTTCGCCTTTTCGTTCCAGAAACCATCTCGAAAAGACCGTTCGCAAGTGTCCGAAAGCAAAGCGAACAGTTGTGTGCTATGGAATATGTATATGCCGGGTATGAATCCGAAAATTGTGACAGACGCTAACGGTAAAACGTGCCGAATCCATTTGCCCACTCCCGTCTGCAAAGGATATTGCCGTACAAGTGAGGTATGGTAGAAATTGGAATTGTTATTAGAAGCGATACATTTCTCTTTTTCACCATTTCAGTGGTACCCATCCATTTTCAGTGGAGTTTATGATGCTTACGAAAATGTGCTAATTAGAGAACATTCAAGTCAAAGTAAGATAAACAACAATGAAAAATTACGATTTTGTTTCTCTTCGAACAATGTTTCGTAATGCGTCGTAAAATATGACTTTATGATCAATTGTAAAAGAGTGCATTGCATTCATTTAGAAGAATTCATGAGTGAGCGATTATTGAGCAGAATACGATCCAGGATTGTTGATGTTGTCATTATTTTTAATAGTTTATTTATTACCACAATTGTCACTGTTATTGCTATTATCATGAGGATTCGCGTCATCGAAATCAAACTACTGACGATCAATCGACGACCAAAATGTTCTCGCATAAAAGCATAACTACCATTTTTTGGCGTTTATTTGCAATAAAACTGGATAATATTATCGAAACACAAAGGATTAATAGCAGCATGCAGCATGCAAGCACAAAGGGATAGTAGGGTGATCATGATGCAAGCAGTTAAGACGAAAGTTGCATTCCATCGTCATTTCATTACGTGAATCAATAAGGCAGTGTAAGATGAATCCTCCAAGCACAAAGGAATAAGAAGATCATCCAACAGTACATACAAATGTTTCATTTCATCCTTATATCCGTATATATCTATCCTATATCATGTGTATCCTATATCCTTATATATCTACCACATTTTATACATAAACAGCTTATGTACAAAGCAAATGGTTAATTCATAAAGCACTTTGGTTCGTAGATCACTTTTTCCCTGACAAATCGTATCGTTCGCGCCCCTTCGCAACACCATTTGTTCAGAAAGGCAATTTTCGAGTTTGACTGGGATAAGCGGGCATGATTTCAGTATGGAACACATGATTTCCCGCACAGAAAACAACGAAGCGAGATCTGCACACATGAGGGTGGTGTGTTCGAGAAGATTCCAATGGAGGAATGCGACGAAGGCGCTGATCCAAAAATCCGCACTATATGGGTTCTTAAAGGCAGTAAATGTGTTTGTAAAAAGTAACAAATTTCCATGCTGTTTTCATTTCATCACTGTTTTTCATTTCAGATTCATTTTAAAGTTTTAAAATATTACCGTCGATCGGTAATATTTTAAAAGTTATTTTGATATGATAAAATGTTTCTCGATCGGTTAAATATGATCAAGAAACATCGAACTTCAGCTTCATATTGGAAAATTTGATGCTGATTATAAACAAACTTTTCAACAAGTGGAACGATTTCTGGTCGAGTGAGTCTCTCTGAATGAGGTGTTTATCATTTCAGGTGCGACCGATCGCAGATGCACTGCTCAAAGACCAGTTTGTTCGACTAACCATTGTGCTATTGACAGAACTGACTGCATGATTCATTTCTCATCTGATAAATTTTTATAAATTTCTGTTTTTGTTTTTGGGTTTTGGTGCAAATCACGTGAAACATAAATATTTCTCTTCGAACTTCGATGGTCTTCAATGTGTCATACACAAACAAAGTTATCAATTCTCAACACGTTGATGTTCTCAACAAATTAGCTTTGATGGTCACCTGGTAACTGCATCATTATTCAATCAACAATTAGCCGTGCTAACTTTGAGGTGAAGAACTCGAAGTCAGTAAATTATCGCTAATTGTTAGTTAACAACATATGCTAGAGATTGATCGGCTCAGTACTGGAATTGATCTGTTGCGCTGTTCTTCAGCAGCTGCTGTCAGCAGGCAGCCCTCTGTCATTAAAGAATGAAAGTCGTCTCATGTGAACGAGAGCAATCACGGTCAATTAGTAGTAGAGAATGAGAGTGTTCAATACTATTGCTTTAAAAGAATGAAACTTGCTTGGAATCTCATGAAATGATGGTACTCGTGCAAAAGAATGAAAATTACTCAAACGATTTAGAATGATTTTTTTGATTTAGAAGGTATGTAGATTTTTTTGAGGTATTTTCAGATAGTTGCAAGCGTGAAAATAGGATTATTTTGTTATCCAAACACATGATCAACATGAACAAAACTTCCGTTGGAATTAAATGAACTCAAGCAAGAAATCAAATTCTTTCTGATAAGTATTAAAATGAGCAGCAAAGATAATTGGATAATAGATACAAGCCGGATCATAGCCTGGCTCAGGCTCACAACATTAGTGATATTGGTACACCACTCGGTTTCAAGCAAAANTTTTGCTTGAAACCGAGTGGTGTACCAATATCATTAATGAGCAGCAAAGCTTAATAATTCAGTCGTCGGTGTCTATACAAATTCAATGTAAAGCTTTTCAATAATGCAGTGTTTGAGCTAAACTGACGCGGTATTCAGTGAGTATACGTTTAGAAAGTTACTTTTCTATATCACATCAATATCAGTAAATAGCAAGATGATGAGATCACTCATCATAAACTTTCATCTGTTGTAGAGTATAAAATCGTCGTTCGAGACTCATGAAACTGTTTACTTGTATGTGGTCAGGAAATAAGGTTCATACGAAAGCAATCTGTTAGTGTTCTGCAATTGCTTCAAGTCATTTGATCTAAGAATGGGCAAAAATGTTCCACTCTGACACTTTCAACTCCAAGCGAACCATAAGCTCGGGTCGGTTTAGTCAAAAAATAAGATTTTGGGATTTCTTTTTTGCTGAATATAATCATGGCTATTAAGAAGACAAGTCTCCTGCTGAATGACAAACTCGCATTCGAAAGTTTTCCTTCTACAGCTGTTTACTGCTGATTGATTGTAAGCAATAAGCAATCATCACTATCACTGACCGATGCTACCATGTATTTCCCTCGGTAAATCTCAGCCATATCTGTGTTATACGCTCAATGTTCATCGATACAATGCCACTGATTCAGATTAATTCAGATTAATCTGTCCAAGCCAGTATATATCTCCTCGTATAATGTGTTCCATATTACGGCAAAATCGTTCGTTTACTATGCAGAATTCCACGCAGTAAACCAATGCTTTAATCACCATGACAACGGAACCAGTAAGGTGTTGTTCAACTTCCAATCGAACAGTGTCTGCAGCGTAATTGTTAGGTGGCTATGATGAGCATTCGAACAACCGCTATTCATCCAATATCGATGCTGCTTTGAGCTGATTTTGACCGCCTGTCTTTTTTGGTCGAAAATGTCTTCAGATCGTCTAAAAAGAAGTAATCATTTGCAACAAGTTGAACGTAGACTATTGGCTATTGACAGTAGATTACAACATGCTAAAAGAGCACGCGTAAGTCTCCATTTGTGTCTTTGCTTGATGAATGCATTTGAAGTTATCAAATCTTCTCGTTTGCTTCCATTAGCGACCTTAAGTTACTCGTGAACTCGGAGATGAAAATTAAACTTTTTGAGAGCGTAAAATCTGGGTCCAAAATTCTGACTTACTGATGTTGTATCTTTTAAACAATTGTTTCGTATATTTTTCTGTTCTTACCTCTTGCTAAATAAGGGTATGATCCTTACTCTTAGATTTTTGGATCGTGGTTTGAAAAAATGGCCAATTAATTGTCATGTTTTGTGAATGAAGAAATGAATGAATGAATAAACAAATGATAAAGGATGAATTTTGCAGGATGATTACATCAAATTTCTCAAAAACAAGTATCCTCAATGGAATCCACCAGACCTTCTCACTTACACCATGGTTCGTTTGTCTTCTCTCCGTAAACAATCTTTAAAGGTCATCAAAACCCCACATCTAGCGCACGTCGAAGTGCCGTTCCATTGTATTCTTTACTCACATTGAGTGCACTTTCTATTATATCTCATTGCCTTCTCCTTTTTCGAGGCAAATAGTAGTTGCGAAATTTTCACTTACAAATGGTTTACGCCGAAGCGTGTGTGAGGGCACTGCCAGTTGAATAAGTGGTGGATTAAGTGATTTCCACAGTTTTCTTCAAGATGAAATAGAATTTAATTAGCAGAACAAATGCCACTGACAAAAATCAATGGATTCAGACTGATAAGTTATTGGACGGTCGTCAGAATGCGATTGATTATGAGCCTCGCCGACCAGATAAAATCATTGATCGCTTGTCAACGAGTAAATATCACTGGGATTTGGGACAAGGACGAGTGGCAATTCCTCCGAGAAAACCACAACCCAATCTCGAACCAAATGATCCTATTCCGTCCAGGTGCAGTTCACGCTATATATCTGAAGTGCGATCATTTACATCGCAGCAGGGTTAACTCACTGATTCATATGAATATGAGAGCTATAAACATCATAAACAGTCAATTTAGCAATAGTGTTTGCATATAAATGTTTGTGTTGGATAATGCTAAGCATGTAAGGGTCATGGTATGCAAGATAATAGAATATATTTGATCGTGTACTAGTCTGAAAATCCCCCTGATGAAGAAGGATTGCTCAGAGTTCCAGATCAAATTTAAGGGGTTGATAAGGAACTACTGATGCAACTCAAGAAGTTCACTCAATTCTTTGGGCTAACTTCAAGATAACGGGACGCAGCTCATTCAATTCATAAGATATTTTGTTTCGAAAACCATAAAGTATGAGGAGATAAGTTTTTAGAGGACTGTTCAGTTGTTAATGATTTGGGGTTTGATCAGCCAAATAAGAGTGTGTTGAAAGGAACATGAGCTGTCTAATTGTAAACAGCAGCTTTCAGTGGTCCGATGCTCGAAACAGATCTACAACGCGTTCGTAAACGTTTGAACGAGATAGCGTCAGATCTGAGGATTCTTCGCGATCATCGCATTCATTTGTCCTCAGTTCAGTTCTATCGGACCGTTGATTTGGCCACCCTACAACCACCAACTAAATTTACGGCAATGAATCAAGATCGCGGAGGTATTAGCCTGACGGAGACCAGGCAGCGTATTAATCAAATCGGTTTGTAAAATGTCAATTACAAGCTCATTATGATGCGATTCTTTTACAGTTGGACAAAAAATAATAGAATCCTTTTGAACATGCTTGATGAAAGAATGATGCTTGATGATAATGACCAAACAGTAGGAGGAAAATTATTTTGACTTATCATGAGTGTTAACTGTGAGCAAAAGTTTTGTTCTGCTGCAAGAAATATCATATTGGGTTAATTTATTGTGATCTTTGCTGCCTTATCCGATTGATCTTCCCACAAAAAACGACAAACTTTTTAGGGCTTTCGGAATATTTTTGAGTTATCACAGAGAACTGACCCCTTCCTGAACTGGAACCAAGCCGCAAAAGAACTTCAGTCATTTTCAGACGCAACATCCAGTCCGGATGTACCAGAGCCAAGCAAGGATGATTTGGATGTGATACGAGCCGAGGAATTACTCAAAAAATATCGCGATCAGTTGAGAAATGACGACGAATCAGTGGCGCCGTTCGATAAAACGAATACAGAGAAGGACCCGAGAACGCAATCAGCAGCCATTAATGCGAATAATCCGGATTGTTTGATTGCTCCAAAACGAACGATCTTGTTTAAGATGGATCGTGAGCAGAATGTTAGATCAAGTCAAAAAGAACAACCTCAAAAAGCCAGTAATATTGAAAATGAACATGAGAAATCTGATGTGAATTTATCTGGACTGAAAGCTTATGATGGTGATCAAATGATGGGTGAGTCTTCATTTGAAAACAACTAGGCCACCATTCAGTTCTTTCACAATTCTTCCAATAAGATATGTAGATCTGAGAAATTGGTTGCATGCTTTCAAAGATTTCTATTGAATGGTCTTGATTAAACTTATTCAGAGTACTTACTTAATTCACTTTTGACCTTCGATAGAGATCTGAAGTATTGCTAGCTCTATTGAGCAAATATGCTTTCGAAAGAGGGTTTACCGGTTTGTGCTTGTTTTCAAAGTTTTTTGACATGTAATGATTGAACTTTCACATTAAGCTCATTCGCAATCATCATCAAATTATCGAAAAATGCTTGACATTTTGAATAAAGACCCGATTGAGGATACTTCATCAGATACTGAGGACAGCTTCGAGATGAAGTTGAAAACGAAACAATCCACTCCAATGACCAGTCACAAAAGGTACTTTAATTCCTTATTGAATCAAATCGTTCCGCACTGATCTTTGCAAGGTAACTCTCGGATATTCCAGTTCATGTGTACAGTGAAAATTGATGGATTGTTTTGTTTTTAGACATCAATTCTTTAGTTTGCTCCTTCCCTAAAAGTCATTTATTTCAGTCCAGCGCAGAATACTGCCATCACTACAGCTCAATTAACTGTTCCTGCCCCGTCCGGCACATCGAATAGCTCGATGCAGGCAGTGGAAAGTGCGAAAAGTGGAGGTGAAAGTTTCCTGTCAAGGATACTCGGTGAACAACAAACCGAAAAGTCAGGCCAACGTCAACCACAGCAAAAGCGTATCTCGAGCAGCTCGGATGAAATGGCGAAGAAAATAGCGCCAAAGCAAGAGGACGATTCAGATTCGGACTTTTTCGCTTGATCTGGACACAATGAACGAAGGAAATCCAATAAAACTTTGAAACATGGATAATGAATGATAATGTTAAATGAGGTGAATGAAAGCAATAAAATAATAGGTGACGACGAATAAAAGTATTGAACATTCACGCTTCACCACTAAAGAATATTATTTGAAAGTCACATTTTCATTGTTTGGAATTATGATCGTTTCATCGTTATTATCACAAGGTTGGGTAACACAACAAGTTTTCAATGGAATAATTCATGCGAGACTGTAAAATGACAGTCATAATGCAGTGATTATACGAGCGAATTGAATATCAATCGGCTCTGTCACTAAGCATTTTGCAATGTGTCACAATAGGTATGACAATAAAACATCACCAAATAATCTTGGAAATCGCGTCACCGAGAGAATCACTCAAATATCAATCACAGAGTCAGCAAGCAATATTACAATACGAAGAAAGAAATATTCTATGAGACCAATGAAAGTTGAAACGATGCTCACATCAAATGAGTCAATAAACATTATGTTATAGAGCTAAGCTCTAGTTACACCTGACGGAATTCGAATGAATTGAAAATTGGATTAAAACAGTCTGAGCTAGTTATTGAATTCCCAATGAGGGAATGCTTTAAGACGTATATTCACGATATGATTACGGAAATAATACAATTCAAACGCTTCGAAATATAACTTTCATGAACAATTTACGGAAAATCCGGAATAAACTGGAGAATGACAAAGAACAAGTGAAATACGCTGACGAAGACCAATAGGATGAATAAGAAAACACGTTACCACTATTGCAATATTCTAACTTCTCATTAAATCAGTCTGATGTCACACATCATTTGAGTTTATGCGTTCAAGTATTTTTATCACTACCTAATGCTTCGTTATGGAAATCACTCCTTATTGCATGACCAAAATTTGACGTGAAAAGAGCACATGAACACATGAAAATCACCGAGACCAAGTTATCAATATCAATCGACTCAAACCCTAGCGAATTCTTAGAACTATTCTAATGTTTTACGCGAATCCTCACGATCACATTAATTTTCGTAACTATATGGAATATGTACAATGTTTTATGGAATGAATATGATATAACAATAGATGCAAAACCAATTATGAATTATAAATGAAATGAAAAACATTCGGTACTGATATTATTGCAATAGTATTGTAATTATTATCATTATTACTTTGACCAATATATCACTTCTATTCAGTTATTATGAATGATATCATGAAATCTAAACAGAAAAAGGCAACAGTTTACACGACACTATACACAAGGTGATAACTATACAATTTCATTGTTCATATTGCAAATTCGACCTCAAATCAGACTCAATATCATAGTATATCCGTCGGTCGGTTGTTTAATCGTCGCAATTTTGTCGCTAAGGTCCCGTACTGACACGATTGGTGATCTTCTTTTCTTTCGGTAAAAATGGTACGAACTGCAGAAATGGTATCTTCTCGACGAGTTTCATAAGGAACGGTGAGAAGGCGTACGTGTCAACACCATTCTCGCCCAAATCATAAGCAAGACCTCGAGATCGCAGACCACGTTGCTCTCGTGTCACTCCTACAATGGGATTGTCGATTGGTTGATGTGAAAACATAATTTTTTACAATATCCTCATAGAATCATATTAATAATTTCATAATTTCACAACTGATGAACAAACCTGTAACAGTGTTGTCGAGAATACACGCAACGAAAGCACCAACGAACATCGGTAATGTAAGCAGTACAAGCAGGACTTGATCCAGAGTAGCATTGCCTGAAGTGATCAACCTTTCTTTTAGATTTCATTCCAACTGGTCACTCAGAGCAATTTCAATTTTTTAACCAAAATTTTGATCGCGACTCTTCTAACGAGTAGGTCCAATGGTTGGAATTATTAGAATCTGATACTGAGTGCGATGGAGTTGTAATCTTAGGAAGATTTTCACGAAATATAAAAAGTATTGTCTACAAAAAATACAAAACCTGTCTGAATGGGATGATCTTTGAAATACTGCGGCACAATCATACCGACCATTATGGAGAAACCCAAAATGGCGATATTTCTTGATGACTTCAAATCGACCTGAAAAGAATTCAGATTTTTTTTTGTCAAAATCGTACAAGTCGTCTCAAATTTTCCACAGTACGACATCCAGATGGCTCTAGAATTTCATATCAGACGATCGAAAGGAAGAAATTTGCAAGTGCTCTCAAGAAATGTATGCAGGCATTGAAAATAATTGTAAAATTAGCCATAATGAAGTTCGACGGTCAAACGAAACAAACCTGTTGAACGTTCGCGATCGCCACACCTCCAACCATCGCCATACTACTGGCTAAAACGCCGCCAACCAACGGATCCGGTATTGTAGACAAAACAGCGCCTAGCTTTGTAAACGCACCCAGAAAGATGAGCATCAGACCAGCGATTACCATTGTATATCGACTTGCCACCTACATTTCAGCACTTCTATATTCCCTTACATCTCAACTTATTCATGCATTCTTGTTTCAGCGAATGATCCTCTACAAAATTACCTCTTCATTTGAGAAATGTGGTGCGTTTCAAATAAGCTCATCATCATCGTTTCAAAATCTTGAACTTCTCTCTCATTGTGAGCGCAAAAGCGATTCGTCCAGGCCAATGAAGAGTAGGTAGTGTATTTGTTAAGTGTGAATCGTAAACTCACCCTTGTGACACCGATAACTCCAATATTCTCAGTGTGTGTTGTCATGCCCACTCCTGTACCGAATAAGCCAGCCAAAAATGATCCTGACCCTTAAAGCAACAACAAAGGTTTGAAAAAAGAAATCAAAGAAATCGCAGCCAAATCACACCATTTCTTTCTAAGTATCGCAAGAATTGATACTCTAATTGCAAGAATTGACAGCTTGAGCTAGATAGAGGTACATCGCGATGATTTGAACAAGTTTCTTTGCTATCGCTAAAATGAGGTACCTTTGATGCCTTTCTCAGTTGATAATGGACGACATTCGACACGTTGTGAAACAAATTAAATGTTTTTGAAGCAAGAAGTCTTTACAAATTTTTCATCACTCCATTGATAATGGATAAAGTGAACAAGAACTGAGGAATGTAATTTTATGAAGAAACGGAAGAAATCCGTATGAGATGGTTGCAGAGGATATTATCAGACCTTCGGCAAGAATTCCGCGATTGATTGCATGCGATGGCGGTGATCGTTCATCAGAAACCCTCGCAGCAGCATGATAGTCACCCACTGACTCGAACACTGAGGTCAACGCCGACACAACGAATGCCAAAAAGAGACCCATATGGAACTGAGGTGCGCCAAATTGTCCTGGATAAGGTAGACGGAACCATGGAGCGTGTCGTATCACAGCCAATGTCTCATTTTTATCTAGTCGTGCCGCGCTATCCTCTGGTACCAAATTGGCCACCGTCAAAAACAAGCAAAAACCCCACGACGTAAGAATCGCAATTAAGTACTGAAAATAATTGGAGGTATTAATTGCAATTAAATTCGATGAAACAAATAGCTGCGTTGAATACTACGTCGACGTGGTACGACGATTTAGCAGTTTTGATGTGCGATTTATTTTACGCAACATATAAGGAATAGATGATTTGATGTTATTAGATGATTTCAAACAAAAAACGAGTAAAATTCAACATTGATACAGGAGTTCATAATTGTGAAATCAATCTCAGAAAGTCATTGCATTCTCAGTTTATTATACTACTTGAATAAACTCCAGAAGAAGAAACGAGCACCATTTTCATCGTAAGTTAATTATAGTATGAAAATATAAATTGAATTTCTTCCATCCGAACTGCCTAGAATCCGTTGAATAAAAATTCACCAATTCGCAAGCATTTTCTAGCATTTCTTTAAAAGAATTTCCCTTTCTTGATCTAATGAAGCAATCCTGTGGGACAATAACACTATCAGAAAAAAACGTCAGGAGCTATTTCATCAAAACACTCACCGGATACTGACCAAAAACATTCGTGCGAACAGTTTTCAAGCGTCCATTCTTGAAGGCAAGTACCGGAACTCGCCATTCAG